GGGGGGGGGGGGCAGCAATATGGCTGCTATCCTTGGCCCGCTGAGGTATTTAAAAAGAAAGGAAATGAAGAAAGAATATGGATATGGTTTAAGTTATAAGTATCAATTTACTTGGATAGTGAAGGTTTAATTATTACTCTTTTTTGTCCATAATAAGTGATTTTTTTATTTTTTTATTTTGGTCCAAACTAAGTATCTTTTTACATAATCGAGAAAAAATTAACTTTATTTTTCAAAATTTGCCTTATTTACATATCTCAATATGTTAAGTTAACAATATGCAAATTTTAATTAACGATAATATAGTCAAAATATATTTTTTTCCTCTATCAGTTAGCATTTTTTTAAGGAACGTGACAAAGGATAAAAAGTCACTTATTTTGAACCCGATGGAATATATTCTATTTTCATGTCACCATAATAGTTTTGATAAAAAGAGTTACATGCTGTAAATCAACTTAATCCTGACATGTACACAAGTTAAACCATTATAAGAAATAATAAAACGATTAGCAAATATTGAATAGCAAATCACGGGCTGGGTATAAACAAAAATCTTTCATTTAATTAACTTTTTTTTTTTGAGGATATATAGTGTGATTTTCATGTATGGTTAGGGTCTTTGATAGCTACCTAATCAAGCATGTTGAACTTTCTTGGAGATTGTGTGCAAGTAAAATATTAAAGAAACAGGAAAGTAGTCTTACTAGAAGTTAGGTACATAGATGTTTCAGTTTTCTCCTGTGACTTAATGGTTCTTGGAAAGCGTAGTGAAATTAGAGGTGTTTTGGTTATTATTGAAATATTTTGCATGATAATATTTTTAAATGTTTGATTATCATAAAACAGTTTTCGAATTATTTTTTTTTCCACTAAAAGAGGAAAATAACTTGCTCTAATGGCATAGAAATTTCCTTTCTAGGTATCGATAACTGTTATTCCATGAAATTCATATATACCACTAAATTGAAAGAACAATTAACATAGTTTTGAATCTTTAATTCCAAGGAACATCACCAATATACTATTTTCTTCACTTGTATGATTAACATATGTCACTTGCTTTTTACCAAACTAAACACTAAGAAAATAAATATTTGTTTGACATAAAAATGCACCAATTTATCATTACTTGCTGCAAGTTTAGTGTAATTTTAATTTGGCCATGTTATCCACTCTTGTTTCCAAATTATCAATCCAAACGCAGTTGATTTTTTCACTGACCTAATTATATATGTGTAATCTAACTTTTTCTTACATTACATAGAGGGAGGGAAGGGGGGAGATCACACATTCAGTTTAAACGGTTCCACAAAAATAGAGCAGTGACGTAACACCGTCAACAATTAAAATTCGGACACTTTCATATGTACTTGAATATTTATCATTTTGAAAAGAAAAGAAAAACGCTGTTTTAAAAAAATTGTTCAAACCTTATGTATTCTCCAAATTCCCTGTACAAATGCAAACATGGAGGACAAGTTCAACGAGTTGAATTCACAATAATTCATTTGAAGACATAAATATAATTGCACCACTACGTAATGACTATATTAAAATATCAATATAAAATTTTCCAGCACTAAATGTCGAATTTTGTAAGGGGAAGTATGAGGTCTAAAAGGCGCCTTACAGAGGATATGCTCCATATCTTACATATAAGATTATATCATTGAATAATGAAAGTTATATCATGCAAACATGATTAGATGTTATAGAATTTATCTCAATACACATTTCATGTTTATTAATTTAATTAAACATTAGTTGCAGAAAAATATTTTATGTGACAGGTAGTGTATACGCAAACCTTACCCTACCCCTGGGAGGTAAAGATGATGTTTCCAATAAACAAAAACAATTCTATTGATTTCTTTTCTCATTGATACAAAAGCGATAAAGGTATGAAGTTTATGTCCTTAGTTGTATATTTATGTTAAGAAGCATTTATAGCTACACAAATATTGTCGTAATTAAGTTTCAGACCATAAGTTTTAAAGGTTTTACAGTCACACAAACACTACTAGAAATTCGCTAAAAACCGACCAAAAAAATCGATCAAAGTTGGTCGGTTATGGCCAATTACCGACCAAAACGCGACCATTACGGTGTGGACGGTGTTTTGATGGTCGGAATGGCTTGCCGACCAAAGTTGGTCGGAAATTACCGACCAACTTTGGTCGGTGGCTTAAAACGACCATCTGACAAGTTTAATTACTTACCGACCAACTTTGGTCGGAAATATATTTTATTAATTTAATTTTACCGACCAAAGTTGGTCGGTTTAACTAAATTATATTTTTTTATTAATTATTAAAATTAAACAACACCGACCAACTTTGGTCGGTAATTGAAAATATATATTTTTTTAAAATAATTAAAATTAAACATTACCGACCAACTATGGTCGGTAATCTCAACAGTGCTGGCAAAATACCGACCAAAGTTGGTCAGTAATGTTAAATTCTGGGAATTCAATGTTCATTAACCGACCAACTTTGGTCGGTATTTTGGAATAATTTATTTTTTTATTAAAAACCGACCAACTTTGGTCGATTTTTCTGGGTTTAATTTTGGCATAAAATACCTATTTTGGCAGCTACACCACCTGCCAGCATACCAATACACCTAATAACAACAACAACAACACAACAACAACAACAACAACAACAATAACAACAACACAACAACAACACAACAGCAACAACAACAACAACCAAAACATTGAATAAATACTTTAAAACTAACAAATTAAAGTTCAATTGAACATAAAAATTCAAAACCAAGTTAAAACTAATTACAACTAGTTCAAAACTGGTTCTATTTGTCTAGTTCAAAGTATATAAAAGTCAAGGGGTATTTTCTACAATATCATCATCACCGTCTGATGAACTTTCATTTACAAGACGATATAGAGAACGGTCTTGTGGAGGACGGGAAGCACGATCACGGGGAGGACGGGAGGAACGATCACGAGCAGGACGGTATGAACGATCACGTGGAGGTCGATCCTTTGGAGATGACTCAAGAGATCGGGACAACGGAAAAGCTCCACTAGATATGAGAGTTCTGATCTGAGCTTGCATGCCAAGGAATTAAGCATCTCTAAGCCTTTATCTTTCCTTGGCCACTTGTAGCTCTGATGTGAGCTTTGTCACTGTCTCCCGCATAGTGGAGAGGCTCTCCCTATTAAGTTGCTCGCCTTGCGAGGAAGTCCCTATTCCTCGCATTTCACACTTATAGCGATGGAAGTTTTTAGTAGGAAGCCCGTATACCTTCCCCCATTTTGGACCGCCAACAGACTCCAACCATATTCTTTCAGCATCCTCGTCCGAAGGTTGGGTTGGCTCACCCGATTCACCAGCTGGATGACTACGGATGAATTCCTCCACGTTACTTTGGTAGCGACCCTATATTATTTTAAATTAAATCAGTATTTCAAATTTTTTATAAAAGTAAATTATAATACTTAAAGAAAATTGAAAGCTTACATATGCAGTCGAGGCCCGGTCCTCGACCCACCTATCTTGATCTCCCTCTTTCTTCTTCTTCAAAATATGTGTCTCCTTGAATAACTCATCATGACTCATTGGACACCCATACTTCTTTTCCTGAAAATAAATTTATTTAGTTAATAAATAGAATAGATATACTTAGAAAAGTAAAATAATTTAAGCAATTACGTACCAATCTTCTTTTTATTGTCCCTAGGCTGATCGCACCTCCAGTGTGCAAGGAGCCTCCCTTCTCGGANTTTTTTATTGTCCCTAGACTGATCGCACCTCCAGTGTGCAAGGAGCCTCCCTTCTCGGATGCGCGAGCTTTTTTTCCTTTTTCGCTCCTCTCTAAGAACTCTGCGGTAAGCCATTACCTTTGCAAATCATTCAACAAATTCTCAAGTAACCAGCCAGGCCTCTTGTTCTTCTTTCTAGCATCCGAGAAAGCATCCGCCAATCTCTTGCGAGCTTTATGATGAAAATTTGTAGCCACTTCCACGCTATAGCGATCTTCCCATACACACTTGCTCTGTATTTCAAAAGTTAAATATTAGGTGGAAACATCATAAATATAAATTATTAAACTGTTTAAAAGAACATTTATACCTTAAATTGATTGAAAATTTGCTCCTTCAGTGAGAATGGGCAATCAGTCCAAGTCGCATAAGGGCCATCATAAAGCTTTCTGATGGCATTGGTGATTATCCTCGTAGTCTTATTACCCGGCCTGAACCTGCAATTTAACAATAAAAATACATTAATATCTTAGTAAAAATGTTACAAATCAATAGACGCAAAAATAATGAATAACACTTACCCATCACCCTCAGGGACTATGATGATCCTGCCATATCGATCATAATGCACTACCTCGTCATCACCATCCGAAGCATGTGTATCAGAGGCATGTGAAGACGGTGTAGGCGGATCAAAGCTATTGCCTCACAAGCGAAGGCCTGCAATAGATGGAGTCGATGATGAAGATGGTTGCGATCCCTGTGACTGCGACATAGCTGGATGTGACCCAAGTGGATGTGATACCGATGGTTGTGATCCGAGTGGCTGTGACCCGAGTGGCTGTGACCCGAGTGGCTGTGACCCGAGTGGCTGTGACATTGATGGATGCGATCCATGTGGCTGTGATATG